ATAAGACAAAAAAATGCAATAACGAATTAACACATTGTTTTGTCAAAGGTCTTGAGAACAGTATACCAGAAAGACAGGTGTTGTTTTAACACTACATTTAATAGGAGGATTCAAACAAACAACGTGATTTATTGTTATTCCAAATTTATTGTTCTTATCCAGGAGTTCCTGTCTAAACTAAATCGCCTTATGTATATTACAACCATGATCAAGAAAAAGATTCGAGTTAAATTAAGTTCTGTTCTTTACAAATGTGACAACTAAGGAAACTTATATAAAGTTAATACTCAAACACTTCAAGTATTCAGTTATTCATTCATACACCAAACGAATTATCTACACTAAGTGGTAATTTTGTAAACCAGATGATATAGACTACGTGATGAAACAGTTTTATCATAACGTCTAATTCAAACATCGTGAACTCCAGAATAACTTTTTGAACCTAAATAAAGCAATTATTGACTTCCAATGTCATGCTTTATTTCACAGCTAACTCAGCGACCGGGATATCATAATGTGCATGTTTACTTCGTATTATCATTCATACGTATCATGCGTCAGTTTACGTCACAACACCGTTTTTTTTTTTTTCCAGCCAAGTTATAACAAGGAACTAAACCATTTTTATTTTACGTGAAACGTTTTGTACCATTTCAACACTTGCTATAGAACTCCTTTGTTAGGGACAGTTTTCCTTACCGTGCCCCTCTGTACCCCCCTTGGGCGGGTCACGTGATTTCTGCGACCATGTGCTCTTAGCAGTTTGATGTGCGTTGTTTGTGTGTAGGCGGAAAGTTTACTTTTACCTTCGCCTTTTACTTTCTCGATGTTGACATCTTGATTAGGCCTGAAGATGCCCAAAAATATGTAAGTGGTCGCTTATTTGTATTGTTTTTTTGTAATTCAATATTTGTTCGAGTCGCGAGCTTTACATTGGTAACTTTCAGCTGTACCGAACCGACGGAAGGACAAGTAACAGAATAAACATCTTAAGTGTACAATTTGTTTGTGGATTTCTTCAACATCCTTATTTAAGGTGCAAAAACTAGAACTAACTCTTGCCAAATTTTCTGACTATAAACAGCCGAGATATCTTGATCTCCTATCTTGATCTACCTATTTTTTATTTCATTGACTATTTTTCTTCAAGTATTAGGTCATATTATCCTGCATGAAAACTATTTAACTATGGAGATACTTTGACTTCTGTAGTGTCAAATTTAATTAATTTAGCTAACAGTAGCAAGCAATCACTCTGTTTTCAAACTTTCTCGCTTTACTGGCAAATAACACAGCGCTGCACTTTTGCCAATTTTTCTTAAATTCTCCCACTCCCCGAGATAAACAGGGTATAACTCCCCTGGGGGAATTCTTATGCCACTGTCAATTGGGAAATTGTTTATTGTGAAATACACCCTCCCTTCTATTTCCACTGCACCAAGGTTGTTCGTTGGAATGCGTTTTTGTTCAACGACAGACCAAGTGTTGCTTTCCTCATTATACATTTCAACTGGCGCACGGCTACCGCATGCAATATATCTACCCTGATTATCCATGAATATTGAAACACATCCCCCTGCAACATAGAGTCTATTGTCTACTACAATAAGACTGGATTCAAAGTGAGGCTGCCAGGTTGTTGCTTTCACTTCCCATTCATTCTTTACTGGATCAAAACAATTAAGTACTGCTGGGGAAAAATCCCCAGATGGCAACTTTGATGTATTTCCACAAAGTACAAACACTTTTGAATGGATTATTGCTCCATTTTTGCAGGGACGATAATTTCCGCCTCTTGTACCTATTAGTGCAATACTTTGCCATTGACGTTTGGCAAAACTGTATCTTTCAGGAACCAACAGATTTGAATCAATTGCATACATATGATCATCAATAACACACAAGTTATGGATTAGACCACATCGGTGAAGCAGCTTTTCCCATTCATCTTTTTCTGTATCATACTGAAAAATACAACACCTTGAGGGGTCAAGCCCAGCAACAAACAACTTGCTGCCAACAGAGACTGCACAGTGACACTCAGTTGCTTCAATTGCTGGTATTGCGCATGCCAATGGTTTCCATGTTTTGGCTTCAACATCAAAATACTTCATCTGCGCCTGAGGTTGAACTGCAATCAGAGCC